TCTTACTATGGACTTTTTCCCCTTCCTGATTTCTCGTTAAATCATCTACAATAACACAAATGTTATCTTGACTATTCCGTTCAATAGAAACCTAAGTAAGCAGCAATGCTACTGATTTACTTTGCAAAAAAACATTGCATTTCCTTGAAGACACATTATATCCACCTAATACGTTGTTTCACTTGATATAACATCCCACAAGCCTAGAAACAGGGATTCAATTAAGAGTATCATATTTGTTACAGGTAGTGGAATCTCTATATTACTTATATACTAGTGGTTGAATCTCTATAACATTTAGTTACAAGTATTTGAATCTCTATAACTACTAGTAAATATTTATTTTATATTTTCTTGTTAGAAACAGGAAACAATTATTTGAAGCCCTATGTCATATCTAAGCCTGAGATTACCTTTGTAAAAAGGAATGTATATGATGAGTACTTGATTCTTGCGAGTGATGGCTTGTGGGATGTTGTATCTAGCAAAACAATGTGTCAGGTGGCTAGAGTGTGTCTTTAAGGAGATGCAATATTTTATTCCAAAGTGAATCAGTCGTCTCGCTACTTACTCAGGTTGCTATGGGACGGAATAGTCATGATAATATCATCGTTAATGTAGTTGATTTGACGAGAAATCAGGAAGGAGGAGAAAGTCCATAGTACAAACATATATGTGTACTATGGACTTTCACCTCCTTCCTAGTTTCTCATAGAATCGAATACAATAATGTTGATATTATCATGACTATTCCTCCCATAGCAATTCGAGCACGTAGTGTTGTTGCTATTCACTTTAATGAAAAAATTATTGCATCTCCTTGAAGACACACTCTAGCCACCTGACACATTGTTTTGCTAGATACAACATACCACAAGCCATCACTCGCAAGAATCAAGTACTCATCATATACATTCTTTTTTACAAAGGTAATCTCAGGCTTAGATATAGAAACAGGGATTCAATTAAGAGTATCATATTTGTTACAGGTAGTGGAATCTCTATATTACTTATATACTAGTGGTTGAATCTCTATAACATTTAGTTACAAGTATTTGAATCTCTTGTAGAGATTCAACCACTAGTATCTAAGTAATATAGAGATTCCACTACATGTAACAAATATGATACTCTTATTTGAATCCCTGTTTCTCTATCTAAGCCTGAGATTACCTTTGTACAAAGAAAGGTAGATGATGAGTGCTTTAAGTGAAGTCTTGTGGGATGTTGTATCAAGCAAAACGACGTGTTGGGTGGCTAGAGTGTGTCTTGAAGAAGATGCAATATTGTTTCCGCAAAGTGAATCAACAACAACACTACGTACTCGAATTTCTATGAGACGGAATAGTCATGATAATATCAACATTATTGTATTCGATTCTATGAGAAACTAGGAAGGAGGTGAAAGTCCATAGTACACATATATGTTTGTACTATGGACTTTCTCCTCCTTCCTGATTTCTCGTCAAATCAACTACATTAACGATGATATTATCATGACTATTCCGTCCCATAGCAACCTGAGTAAGTAGCGAGACGACTGATTCACTTTGGAATAAAATATTGCATCTCCTTAAAGACACACTCTAGCCACCTGACACATTGTTTTGCTAGATACAACATACCACAAGCCATCACTCGCAAGAATCAAGTACTCATCATATACATTCTTTTTTACAAAGGTAATCTCAGGCTTAGATATAGAAACAGGGATTCAATTAAGAGTATCATATTTGTTACAGGTAGTGGAATCTCTATATTACTTATATACTAGGTGTGTCTTCATGGAGATGTTACATTTTTTTTTTTGCAAAGTGAATCAGTAGCATCACTACTTACTCAGGTTGCTATGTGACGGAATAGTCATGATAATACCAGCTTTATTGTAGTTGATTTGATGAGAAATCAGGAACTAAGAGAAATTCCATAGTAAAAACATCTCCTTCCTGAATTCTCATCTAATCAACTACAATAACACTGATATTATCATGACTATTCCTTCCCATAACAACTCGAGTACGTAATTTTGTTGTTGATTCACTTTGCGGGAAAATATATTGCATCCTCTTAAAGACACACTCTAACCACCTGACACATCGTTTTGCTTGATACAACATCCCACAAGCCATCACTCGCAAAAATCAAGCATTCATCATCTACCTTACACTTTTCAAAGGCAATTTCATGCTTATATAGGACATAGGGCGTAATTAATTTTTCCTCTCCTTAGGCACATTCCACAGGTCCTTTCAGTTGAGGATAATGCATCTCTCGGCATTATGTCGACAAAGGAAGAGGTAAAAATATTTTATTTAAGCTTAGTGGGGACATTGAAAGTGGACCTGATCGTTTCACATGTATTTTTTTATCAGAATTGTTGGGACATAGTGGGTGATGACTTATGTAAGTTGGTTACTACTTTCTTTGAAGGAAACAGACTTCCCATTTTCCTAACACATACTAACCTTGTGTTGTTACCTAAAAAGAATGACATTCTATCCTTTTCAGATCTGAGACCTATCAGTTTCAGTAACTTTGTTAATAAGGTTATTTCTAGGGTAATGCATGGAAAATTGGAGATGATGCTTCTAAGGCTAATCTTATCCAATCAATCAGGTTTTGTAAAAGGAAGGAACATTATTGAAAATGTTTTACTCACTCAATAGATTATTTCATATCACTAAAAAGAGAAAACCATCTAATATCATTATCAAAAGCTTATGATAGAGTTTCTTGGTTCTATTTGATGAAAGTCTTAAGAAAAATAGGATTTTCATAGGTGTTTATTGATACCATTTGTAGGATCATAGCTAATAATTGGTATTTTGTGTTGGTGAATGAATAGGCACAAGGCTTTTTTTCACTCTAGAGGGGTAAAACGGGGAGACACTTTATCTTCCACTCTGTTTATTATTAGTGCTGGAGTTCTATCAAGGGCTTTGAATTCTTTATTGATGATGGAAACTATGTGGGATATGGTATGCCTAAACGGAGTGCAAATCTTAACCATCTTTCTTATGCATATGACACAACTATTTTTGCAGTTACACATGAAAAGTCCCTTAAAGGAATAATGAAGGTGCTAGGAAAATATGAGTCTCAATCTAGATAATTAATCAACAAAGGAAAGAGTGCTTTGTACATGCATCGGAACACCAACGCTCAACTAGGAGGTTTGGTTGATAGATGTACATGTATCTCAAGAGGTCAATTCCCAATTACTTAACTAGGGTGTCATATCACTCAAGCTAAGAAGAGAAAGAGTGGTTATAGTGATCTAATTAAGAAGGTGAAGTCAAGCTTCAAACATGAAAGGGAAGATGCTCTATTTTGGTGGTAAGGTAACTTTGATCAGTAGTGTGCTACAAAGTATTCCTATCCACATTCTTTCAGAAATTGTTCCCCCAAATTAAGTAATCAATGAACCACATAATATTTTTGTGAAGTATTTTTTTGGAACAATAAAGAGATAGGGAGAAGTAAGAATTGGGATGCTTGGTAAAATATTGCTTACCCAGAGCAGAAATGGGTCTTGGTTTTAGATCTTTATTTGATATTTCCAAAGCTATGTTTGCAAAGCTATGGTGAAAATTTAGAACTGGTAAAACTTTATGTGGAATAAATATTACAAAAAAGAAATTTCAACTTTGGTGTAAGGGAAAGGTGGCTCTTAGATGTGGAAGATGATGGTAGAAAATAGAGAAAAAAAATGGAGAACAATATGTGGTGGGAACCTAGAGAGGCTCTACATATATTTGGTATGAAAAGTGGATGAAACTTAATCCTTTATTTCTGGAGCCAAATTGTATCATTAGACCTGAAATGAAGGATATAAGGGAGATGATGAATGAAGAAAGATGGGATTTAGGAAAACTCCAACAAGCACTACCAGAAAGAATTATCAATCATGTCCAAGAACATTTGAGAAATTTTAAGAAGAAGATTCCCAATACAAGTATATTTGGGTGCAGAGATTTCCCTTTAAGTTTGGAGAATCTGGTGTAATAAAATTCTTGTGGCTCCTTTAATTGCTAAATGAAACAGTAATGTAAGTACATATTGCTTGTGTTGTATAGTACCTTCCCCTGAACCGTACAACACTTTTTCTTAACAGGTGAAATAGAAAGAGAGGTTTGGACTTATTTTGCAAATTGTTGGTCTACATGGTCCTTGGATTCAAATGAAACAAACGGTACCGAAGTGGAGAAATGTTCCAGGCAATGAGAAGTTTAAGATATTAAGAATGCAGTTCCTATAATTATTTTATGGTCTCTATGAAAAAGAAGAAATATCATTTTGACATGGAGGTCTTTATCCAGTTGAGAAGATTATCCATGGGATAAATGAGAATATTCATAAATTTACCGGTTTCAAATTTCCTTTCTTCCTAAACCTACCAATGAATCGGCCCTCAATTGCAGAGGTTCTAGAAAATTGGGAACAAAGGTGTAGACTCAAGATTGTGATCTGGATACATCCTCTTGATGGATGGTATAAATGCAATGTTGATTATGCTTCAAAGGGTAATCCTGACCGTAATTCAGTTGCCTTTTGTGTAAGAAATTGTTTTGGAGATATTGTAGTGGTCAAAGGGAGAAGACATCCAGTTTCTACCAATCTCTTTGCAGAAGCAGTAGCAATAAAGGAAGGCATTCAGCTCAGTCTTGACAGAAACCTTTTGCCTTTTATAATGGAGACAGATTCACTTACTATGATAAATATATTGAAGGAAAGGTGGGGGGTACATTGTGGCTGATTTTTTTTCTAACATGATTGTTGTTACTTTTTCAGGTACTTATATGGTGGAAAACTTTTAGGATCTTCCAATGAGATCAAAGAAATTGATCAATAAGGATAAAATAAGCATGCCTCACTTAAGCCTAGCTCATATGGACTGCTGATTTGGGCAGATTTTATTCTTCTTAATCATCTCTTTGCAGCCTAATGAAACAGGGGATGCTTTCTTACCTTACTGTAATGCCTGAAGTAGCTGATTCTCCGGTGGCTCGTGCTCGGAACTCATCCATGGCGGAGGAATCGATGTGGAGAGAAGTCGACTCTCCATTTCCCTCTTTGTTTCCTACTTCAATAGAGCTACTTCAATATATTGTTCTACTTCAATAGAGCTATGCATTCGAGATATTAAAGTTCAAGGAAGGAAGTTTACCTCATCAACTCGTCTCCCTTAGTTTCCAAAGTCGGAACTTGAAGCTCTCCAGATCTGACTAATTTAGCTCCGGACTAGTTGAAGGTTAGAGTTTCTTTGGAGAAGAGCTAGTAGCAATTGAAGAAATGCAATATTGAGGATCCGATTCTCCGACGACTGGTGCTCGGAACTCATCCATGGCGGAGGAATCGATGTGGAGAGAAGTCGACTCTCCATTTCCCTCTTTGTTTCCTACTTCAATAGAGCTACTTCAATAGATTGTTCTACTTCAATAGAGCTATGTATTCGAGATATTAAAGTTCAAGGAAGGAAGTTTACCTCATCAACTCGTCTCCCTTAGTTTCCAAAGTCGGAACTTGAAGCTCTCCAGATCTGACTGATTTAGCTCAGGACGAGTTGAAGGTTAGAGTTTCTTTGGAGAAAAGCTGGTAGCAATTGAAGAAATGCAATATTGAGGAGCCGATTCTCCGGCGGGTGGTGCTCAGAACTCATCCATGGCGAAGGAATCGATGTGGAGAAAAGTCGACTCTTCATTTCCCTCTTTGTTTCCTACTTTAGTATTGTCTTATCCTTACCTTTTGTTTATTTTGCTTTGGTTTTGTATAGAATTGTATATATTCCTTTCGAATTTAATATAGATGTTTATGGGCCTCAATTTTTAAGTTAGAATAAAAATGGAATGGCATGTCACATTTAGGGGTGTTAAAAATGAGCCCACATTTAGGGGTGATTCACATTGTTCCTGTTTTATTAATAATATTTTTTTAATTCTTTAAATGGAAGCTTGTTTAATGTCTCTATAGGAAGCTTCTTTTACATATTCGATTGAAGCATTTATCTATTCTCTATGAAGATCTAGTTACTTTAATTTTCTAGCGGAAATCTTTATCCTGGGTTCCATTCACGAGTATTTGCCGGTATATTCATACAAAAATTAAGTCTTGCTATCGAGGAAAAAAAGTTGATAAGGAAGATAAAATAAATTTAGTAACAAATTTTCATCATTGTGTTACCAAGATATATATACAAACAAATTTGATCTTCAAGATAATTATTTTTTGCATTAACGCTTCAAAAAAGCGTATCATAATTTGCTACAATTTACAATAGCGAAATTGATGACATATGGGGATTTTCTCAAGATTGTCAAGTTCGGATTCAATTTATGTACAGAGAAGGTAATTATTCTTTGGTTGATGATTTAGCTAATCTAGCTTTTAAAAATCCAGGTAGACTTGTTTATAATTCTTTTATAGAATTACCAAGACAAGCTAGGCAAATTGCGAACCTAGACAAGCAACAACTTCCTACGTTAAGAATCAGAACAAAGAAAATAGATCAAGAAAGGGAAGGGGGACAAGAAAATGCAGTGACATTCATCACATAATCATATTATTATATTTATATTTATATTTATCATATATTATTAAATCATCATATCATATATCATCATCATATATCATATTCATATTCATATATCATATATCATATATTACTAAAAGTGGGAACAAAAAAAGTTGAAATATTATTTTTTGCCCCTACACTAGATTAAAATATTATAAATATTTAGTTAATTACATGTTTGAATATTAGTGATAATCAATTATTACATTAAGTAAATGGAGAATTCATGTGTTCAAAGGAGGATTGTTTACTCTTCCAGATTTTAATGGAGGTTCATTGCATATATTTAATATTCTTAAAGTTCTTCTCTTTTATTTATTTTGGCCCTTTGAAACCTTCAAATAGTATTTAATTAAAACTTTAAGATGTCTTTTGGTATTCCTCTATTTTTATCTATATAAATTCATTTTTTTTGTTTCATGAAACTCACATCCAAAATTATCATTTTCATTTTATAGTTAAAGTAGTGAAGCCATCAACATCTAAAGTATATGCTATATCTACCTTAGCCTGATTATATATCACTTTATGAAAATAAAATGATTTTTCTATTTGATTCATTCTTTAATTTGACTCGATGGAGAAGACTTTTAAATTTTGATTGGATATGAGAGAAGTTGTCAACAAAAACTTGGAAAATTATGTACCGATTTTGTATTTGTTTTTTCATTTATATAATGTTATGATTAAAGTCTTAAGAAGGATGCGTATGTTATTTTATTTTTCTTTGTTTATTCTTTTTAATATTTCTCTATTAGTCTTCTTTAATTTAATTTTCTATAAATTATTATCATAACATTTATTTGAGATTGTTGCATTTTAGTACTCATTATACGCATATTTTCATTGAATTTTAATCGTCCTAACGAATTTATAACATATTGCATGAGACACACGTGTCCAGAAACTAGTATTATTAAAAGTGGGAAGCTCACATCTTCAAAGTTGGATGACCACTTTGCCCTTACAACAAATTAAAATGTAATTAAAATTTTAATTAAATAATATTATTCAATTAATTTGAAAGTTGAAAAGACTTTATGACTTAATTAGGAAATTTGAAGGGGTGCATGAAAAATGAAAAGACTATTATCAGTTATGTGTGAAATTTTGGCGGGTTACATCACAATAAATAGGCTTATATCTTCCATCGTATGAAATTCAAATGGGTACATCAGAACCATGATAAACATACACTCATATTTAATTGAGAAAATAGCACTTGTAATAAGGAGATATTATTTAGCTAGAGTAATTGAAAAGAAACTATTGCGATCTCAAAAGCTACTAAGTTGGAGGAGGAAGAATCCAATGTAAATAACCTGACTGTGGCACCAAGGAGGGGTACGCATATGAGAATTGTGCAATAATGTTGATGTTTTGAACAATATTTGTAACTATAAATTAAGATTTTTCTCTCTGACATTTTTTGACATTTATTTCTATCAAATTTGTAAGTAAATTATACTGTAATTATTAGCAAAATTAAAATGGTTTTTTTCTGAGTCGTTATGAGTTATACACTTTTTTGTTACTGGTCTTGATTGCCAAATAACAATTAACTTTAGTATATAAAGGTTGCTCGTTTTTATTTAAGTTTGTTTGTAGCTTATATATGCAAATTATTTTTAAATTTATCTGAAACAAATATAATTTAATGGACTTATAAAAATAGAAATATGTTTGAATAAACAATAGAGTAAAATAGTTGATATATGGCGTATGTTCATTTTTCTCTGTTACGTTGTATAAATTTTTCATCTATTTCTTACTATAATGAATATATATGTCAATGCAAAATAAAATTATTATTGTGTTAATGAACGTCATCATGTGTATTGATAATTTTCCACTCATGGTCATATATTCGAATTTATTTAAACTATGGATTAAGATTTTTCTCTCTTAACATTTTTTGACATTTATTTTTATCAAATTTGTAAGTAAAATTATAATGTAATTATTGACAAAATTAAAATGTTTTTTTTTGAATTGCTATGAGTTATAAACTTTTTTGTTACTATCTTGATTACCAAATAACAATTAACTTTAGTAAATAAAGGTTGTTCGTTTTTGTTAAAGTTTGTTTACAACTTATATGTAAATTGTTTTTTAATTTGTACCAAAAGAAATTAAGAAGACAGTGAAATTATTTTAGTAATTAGCCGCCAAAGGTAGAAATTCAAATAAGGCATCACGGCAAAAACCAAAGTTACAAAAAGGTATTTGAGGGTTTTCATGGGACAAGAACTTTTTCTTCATTGAACTATCTGAATAGGATCAACATTAATTATTTTCATAACTCAAATATAGAACATAAAAATATTCATATGAATTCTTAAACTTATATACTCAATGATATGGGATATACACGCAAAGTGCGTGCCCAAAAACTAGTTCAATATATACCTAATCGGATAACATCAATACTCATTTTTTATTTTTTATTTTTTATTTTAGTGAGAGTTAAGTTATTTTGACTTTTAGTTTGTGATATTACTTGATTATTCTTGAAATCAAGTCATGGACAATATGGATATGCATAGTAGGGAAATTTTCATATATGGCAAAGAGAAAAAACTTAATTAGCTTTCATAGCTACAGTTTACCTAATTACGCTTTATAGGTATAGTTTTATTTGTTATGCGGACCAAGAAGTGATAGAGTCATTTGGTGATTCCGCCAATCATTTTGTAGCTTCACCCATCAAAGAGAACGGGAATAACCTCAACCTCGTGGACGCTTGTGAGATGTTTTTAAACACAAATGATCTACACACCTCCACAAATTTTCAAAGGTGTTCATGGCAGTCCTCATGAGCTAAACCTCCTAAACATTCCTCTTAGTTGGAGCAATTGTAGCTACAATCCAGTTACATGAAACACTGTCCACTCGGTTGTGGGAGGTATTTGGTTGGCTCCCGTAGTCCGAACAATATTGACGTGCATATCATTCAAATCACCCATGTCATTTTGACCGTAGTGACTATCATTTTCATTACCATAGTAACTCATTGTACTAGACCTGCAAATCAACCAACAATAACCCAAAGCAACAATTTACTACAACTAAACAAATTTACAATTGAATTTCTCAAATAGAATTCTCAACCACCAGTACCCGACAACGGCGCCATTTTTTGTAATGCTCAAATGTACTATATAAAACAAATTAAAAGAGACAGCGTTCGTTGTCAATAAAAATACCTAATTAAGAGTCGGGATCGTGGTTTTTTTCTCTTTTAAGTAAATCTACCACTCATCATGTCTTTAATAGAGGTGTTACAAGGTGGTTATTATCGTAGCCTGTACTCATAAGTTGCTTGAAGTTATTGGATTTTGAGAAATCTTGTGTGGCAGAGCGTGACTTTTTTCTCTTATAAGCAAGGAGGTTTTCACATAAGCATTTGTGTTCTTTACTTTAAGCATTCATTGCTTTTGCTATTATTAATACAATCAAGGGACCTGATCTTTTAACTCGTGGTGGATTCATAAAAGTCAACAAATATAAAGTCTGTCATTTCAAGGAGAATCAGGTGAACTTTTTTAATATAAAATTTTACGTCCTCGGTGGTGCAAACCTTTTATTTCTTCCAAGATCTATACAGAGAACAAGCAGAGGGGGACGACAACCTAAACCTCCGTTAATAAGCATTAATATACAGTCTTGAAAGCAGGTCATGTACAACAAAAACTAAAGAAAGACAAATCATAGATAGTGACTCTGAATATATTTTATCTTAGGGAGGGCATCCAAATAATATCAATGGAGTACATACCAGCTTCATCTTTTGGCAAATCTATAGGATCAAAAATCAAGACGTCCTTGCTATATAAATAATATTTAGCTAGTACGTCTGCCACTTGAATCGCCTCTTTGAAGCAATGTCGAACTATCACATTGGCCTGCAAATTAATTCTTCTAGTCTCCATAATAGTATCCTGCAGTTTCCAGGCCATTTGAGATTTATCCTTAATCATATTGGCTATAACAAGGGAATCACATTCTAAAATAAAGCTTGGATAGCCATTTTCCACGCACCATTTGGCTCCAAAATAGGCTGCTTTGGCTTCTCCTATATTGCTCGTACCTCTCCCAATATGTTTTGCGAAGGCTACTATTAAATTTCCCATTGAATCCCTTATAATACCACCT